TTAAGTATACTAAATACAATATAATACATTAAAATTAATTAATTAAAATAAATACATAAGTACATGAATGAATAAATAAAAATAAATAAAACACTGTCTGTACATTCTATAATAAACCTCCAGGGTCTGATACATTTAACAAACAGAATCTTGTCCAATGCATAGATATATATGAGCAGGCACTGTGCTAATAGTCTGAACACAACAATGACTAAAAATGAGTTGATAACACTGCTTGAAAAATCAATTTCCTTTATACTGCTTGAAAAGTTAATTTTCTTTTACTAAGTAAAATCTTATGCACTATGCCACTAAAAATGAAAAAGTAAGTAAGGTGCAACTGAGAATTCATATTTACCTTCTGTTCCATCACCGACTTCTGAAATTTGGATGAATTCATTCTCTAGCAGCCACCTCACACATGCCTCAATTGCTCCAAGTTGAACAGAATCTTGATTTCTCTGAATTCCCTGCTTCCCTTCTTTCATACTTGCAGCCAAAAATGTGCAAGAAGCGTAAGTTTGCATATCTTGTGATGTACTTGCCACTCCACCAACTATTATCTGATAGAAAAGGTTTCAAAATTTCTGTAACTTTTTATAAGACATGCAGGCAGTCATTATTTTATTAAAGAAATAAAGTGATTTTGTCATCTTAAAATAGTCTTAGAATCTTAGAGACTCTTTATTAACTTTTCCATTATCACTCATTGAAAATGTGGATAACATCTACTCATAACATGAAAAGTTTTCTTTAAAAGTAGATACAACATAATCTCATAAACTAAAATTACCTGTCTGAAATTTCAGAACTAACATATTTAAAGGAAGTATTGATGGAAACTGGCTAAAAACTAAATCAATTATTTTCATCCTTCCTTCAGAAATATGTAGGCATGTAGGAATGCTAGTATTGAATACTTTTCTGTCTACCCAGAAGGGGGGCAGTGGGAATAGGTTCAGAAAAAGATGAGGTCATCTGTGCCTTGTGGGTATCATTTTCTCACAACTACTCTATTATATATACTAGTTTTCCCTTGTTTATTTCAGTTAATATATATTGGAAACATACCAAATTGTCATAAACAGAGTTATGTCATTGGTTTTATTGACCACAATATATAGTTTTACCATAATTTTTTAGTATTAATGGTATTTTGATTGTTTCTGGTTTTTTCTTATTATTAATAGTGCTATAATAAACATTCTTATATAATTAATTTGATGTAATATCACAAATACATCCCCACGTAAAATTCCTAGATGTGAAATTGCTAGAAAAAAGGGCATGTGCATTTTTATAGATATGGTCAAGTTGAGTTGACCTGCAAAGAGTTTCAGCAATTATGAGAGTGCCTACTGTCCACATCCTTACCAACACCCTACGTTATCAAAGATGATCTTTTTTTTTCCAAACTGATAAAGGGGAAAAAAAGAGTATGGGCACAGGTATCAGCACCACCAGTAACGAAGGCAATACCAATACAGGCTGGTATATGCATAGACAAACTTCACTGGACAGATACATGAAATACTTAACGGGATAACTGAAAAATCTGAACAGAAAGAGGGTTTACTTTTTATGTTAGATCTTTCTGTATTGTTGGGCATTTCTAACCATGTGCATTTCTAACTTATTTTATTTTAATGTCAACAGGCATTATCTGGATGGAGGAAGTAGCGTCTGTCATGGACTGAATTGTGTCCCCCAAAAATGTGTATAGCAACTTGGCTAGGTCATGATTCCCAGTATTGTATGACTGTGTTATCTGATGTGATTTCCTTATGTGTTGTAAACTCTATCACTATGATGAGATTATATGTGATCTCCTTATGTGTTGT